ATTAGATGATGTAAGGAGACCAATTAAAACATGTTTCCTGCCTCCCTGCTATGAATGACATTTTGTTACTAATGGTTTAAAACAAAGTAAGATCGATTACCTTTTTGAACTGTCTAAGTTGATAGTCTGCTATTACTATTTACTATGAATTGCTTGGTTGTCTGGTTAATATAACTAAAGTAGGTTAAGGTAAAAAAAAAATTACACAATTGCAGCCTAAAAATCACCCACTTCCTGTCCCCCACTGAGTTCTTAGTGGTTATGTAACTCTAATGTGTTGTCATATCACAGTACCAAGAAGAGTGTTTTGAAATGTTGAATAATTTGCCCCAGTTTCCAGACCAACACCATTGTTATATTAGTGAACGAACTTCATTTATTTTATTTTAACTGTTTTTATTTCTCCTTTATCTATTCAGCTATTGAGTCATAACGTCTTATGTTTCAGAGCAATTTAAGCACATTTTTTTTTAGGACAAACATTAATGCAGCACTGATATTTGTCCTATATATAGTATTTGAAGCTGGATTTATCTCTAAAAAGCTTTTTTTCTGTGAATAAACATAATGGGGACATTAAATTATTGGGATGACGCAGTTATATCGCAATTAAAGTGTGAATATATTCTGCCACCATTAGCTGTAAAGACATCCTATAATGTCAGCGTGTTATAGAGTTTTCACAGTGAATGCGCAGGTGTTTATTGGACCCCTGAATTGTTAAGTGATCATAATTTGTTTTAAATATTCTAAAGCCTTGTTTTTATTATTTGCAAAAAGGTTCAAGCAACCTTGCTGACAATGAACTGTAACAAAAAAATTGGGAGTGTATAATTTCCAGTCGTTCACCTTTGTTTTTACATGCTGAAACTGTGAAGCCATATTGTGATTGAAAGTTTAATAAATGCTTTAATCACATCCAGGTTTGTGTAATTTCACCAAGAATCAATTCTTCGTTAAATCTGTGTGTTTTTGAACTGAAAGGATTATTGTTCTTACTGTAGTTTGCTATCTAAACTCCTGTAGGACCATAAATGTGCATATACTTATAGATGTATACATTTTTTGAAGATGCAACCAGATAAAGGAATTGTGAAATAAACACTAAAACAAACCCATGAAGGAATTATGGTTTATCTTAAATATGTTATTAAAAAAGAGGGAAAATAAAACAATAAAATAGATACTTACCAGTAAATCAGCATATTGATTATATGGTTTGGTAGCATTTTCCATTATGTTGTTTCTAGGTTGTTTAAGAAATCAATGAAGAAATTAACTGCATAACAAATTTACAGCTTAATCTGGTACCATGTAGTGACAACATTACAAAGACAAAAACAAGTTGGCTGCCAATAATACAATTAAGACTGATAAAAACCATATAAAGATGGATATTAAACTGATTTTGCTGAATGATAATAACATAAAAATTACCCTACACTAAGTGAAAGACATGTATATTATCAGTATTTGATCTTGCAGATATTGTGTGTGTGCACATATGCATGCAAGGAAGCACACAAATACACCAATCACAAGACTCTTATCTTTAATAGTGTTCATTGTATACAGTAGTAAAGCAAGACTGGAATTAGAGAACTTACTTAATGAGCAGATTGTTGCATGCAATATTTAAGGAAATCTGTAACCAGTATTCTTCATCATTACTTTTGAGGGTTTTGAAAAAAATATTTTGAAAAAGTTAATACTTTAAATGACAAGGAAGACAACAAAACTGCATGAAATCATATCTACCGTCACGGTACAGTAGTAAAAACTGCTAACCTAATCCTTTGTATCAAGAATTTCAAGTCCTTATTCACTTATTTTGCTCTTTAACTGCTTCTTTTGTTATGTGCGTGGACTTTAGTCATTTTGCCCCCTGTTGCGTTTTAGATAACTGAAATATTGCTCTTGGCGCTAAACAAAAAAAATAAACTCCCAATCAAGCATTTTACTGCAAAGCAGCATCCTAACAATATAAGAATATCCTAGACTTGAGCAGGTATCCAAGCTTATCTGGTGTCAAGTATGTTTCACCTGTTTTCAATGCCAGTACTATGTGCCAGAACATGCTTGCCAATATGTCCTCAGTTGCATATCTTCTGTTAAATGATAAAGGCTAAGAAACTGTATAATATCATTTTTTTACGCTACAGTTGTCTCTTGAATTTATTTCATAATAGTATCTTTTGCAGACATAAAACATAGGGATAGTGGGTTGACCTAATTTTAGTGTCTAAATCATTGAGTGAAGCCATATGACACAACAGTGTCATATATAGCGGCCACTGGCCCTTTTATACTGCGAGTCCTATAAATATTATTCCATTTAACTAGAGATGACGTTCCAGTTAGCCATCCTGAAGCTGCAGGAAGGAGGCAGCATCGTATTTTAAAACATGCCACATAGAGGCTGTTAACAATATGATCCTAAGAGTGAACCTCCTATAAAACTGGTAAAGGTCATGCATTACCTCATAACTTCTCATACTCACATGAAAAAGAATATTACAGTCAAAGTTCAAACACGCCTTGCAAACGTATACTTATACTATCTTCACCTTTGTCAGTTTTTTCACACGTAACCAGCAATTGTTCACGATTTGATTGGGAATGAATACAATGAAATAATTACATAAGGACAATAAGAAAGTGGAAGGAACTTTTTGTGGTTTGATGAGATTTTTTTCCCTAAGAGGTCCTAGGAGCATTTGTATTTAGTTTCTCTAAGTTGAAGAATTGTAGATCTACCTTTCATTGAAAAAAAAACAAAAAAACAGCAACGGCTTTTTCTGGGAACTATTGTGCAAACTCAACAGATGAAATACACGTTTAACCAGGTCATTATCTCTCCCTCCTAATATTCCTCAGCCCATGGCTACTTGCCTCTATTTGTTTAGGGTTTTTTTTTTTTGTCTTCGCCTCCTATATTTAGTTTTTTTTGTGTTTAATTATAAAATATTCAAGAAGTGAAACACACAGAACCCTGAAAACATGCAAAAAAAAAAAAAAGAAGGTCACCAATCACTTCACAAAAACATAACCTTTGGTGAATCCTAACTGACACTATAGGCAGCACTTTACAACAGGTTGTTTTGTTTTGTTTTGTTTTTATTTACCCTGTTAACATACCTCACCCTCAGTTATACCTCCCTGTCTAGTGTTGACTTATACTATTCTGTTTTTTTAATTCAAGTTTTTTTCTTTTACCTTTAATAAAAACAAAATACACTCTTTTTTTTTTTTTTTACCTCAGCACATCGAGCATTGACAACACTAGTAACGTATAACCAAACCTTGATTTCAGCAAGGATCAGCTCACTCTATGCTGTTATAAGGTTCAGTGAGGGTAAAATGATTTCTTTTGTATTCCATTTTAATAGTGTTTACATAGATTACTCTGTCTAATTTGAACCAGAACTGCATTTAAGATGAAGTCTGGTTTTATTTTAGGAACAGTCTTTGCAATTTTGACCCTCCCCACCCCCACCTCAGCCGCCCACACACAGACACAATCCAACACACACAAACACACACCGACACACATGCAAACATCCTTGACTCATCTTCCTGATCCAACCAGAGAATTTATATTCTCCCTCCAGCATAAGGAAGGACCATCTTGGCCTTTCATTTTCCAGTTCAGGGCGTTTCCTTTTTTTTTTTTTTTTTGCAGATAAATGCTTTCCAATCCACCCTGACAGATGTCACATTACATCACTTCCATTTTTTATACATAGCCTTTGATCCTGCCACTTGCAATAAGGAGCTAGTGCCAGGGACGTCCCTCCTTGGACAAGGGCTCTGACATGTGTGATTATTTTAAAGGTGCATCACTGTTGGTGCTGAGACAAAAAAAAAAAAAAAAACAACCCTGCTGGACGCAATGCCTTACTGCGAGGTTTGTGGGTTGAGTCAAGAGATTGCTACAGCCCTGCACAGTGTGTAGTAATTATAGATGGACATGGTCAATACCACTAGTTGCGATTTATTCCGCTCGCCTCCTCTTCACAGCAGAGGTTGTTGGTTCAGTCCCTCACTCAGTCTCTCCACTGTGACTTCACGGGTCAGAGTTGGAGAAACAGTCTGTATAAAGAAAATGACTTTAGTACTTCCTGCTTCTGGCAGAAACACAATGCCAGAGCATTAATCATACAGTGCCAGAGCACATCAGTAAACACGGGTGTCAAGTCAAGGTAAAGATCAGATCCCACAGCATTTAACAGGACTCAATAGCATAAAGGCAATCTATTGAACAGTCAGCGTTATTCATGGCTTGTCTCCCAGACTTCTACACTCCCTGAAGAGACGCACTATTGTTCACTGAAGAGCGCGTTGAAATATTTCTCTGGCTACACAAAAAAACTCTGGATCAGCAGCAATTAGTAGGGTAAGACAGAGATAAAGGGAGGAAGAGAGGAAAAAGAAATGAGAGGCAAAAATGTGGAATCAGCGAGAGGAAAAAGGGAAATCATGGAAAGAAAGCAAGGGAAGAGATGGCTGAATAGGAAAAGTAGAAGAAGGAGAGGAGTTGTAGTTTCCAGTCAGTATAGATAAGTGTGTAGGAAGATAGAGCAGCCTGAAGCCCCCTTTGCTTTTTACATGACCAAAGACTCTATCATTGTCTTGGGTCTGACTCTCATGTACATGTGCATCAGAAAAGTCTTCATTACTATTATTTATTTTTTCATTCTTTCAACTTATTACCTTACCCTCTTACCAGCTCATGTCTCCTTATAGGACCAGATCCACTTATATTAGATATTGATCAGTGTTGGAAAATAAATAACAGTATGACTTAAAGCCGACTTTGTCTAAATGAATAAAATGGCTTTGCTGCTGTACGTGTGAAAGTATTAAATATATTTGTTTGTTCTTGTGCTAAATTTGTTTTAGTGTAATGACAGTGTTTTCCATTATCAGCAGGCTCTGTAATTGGTTTCATAATTGAGGTTAGATAGAATGTAACCTTTTGTCTCTTCCTTTGTTTCAGAAGACAGGAAGTTGTTTGTTGGGATGCTGAATAAACAGCAGACCGAGGAGGATGTCTATCGTCTCTTTGAGCCCTACGGAGTCATCGAAGAGTGCACAGTCCTAAGAGGTCCTGACGGAAACAGCAAAGGTAGGTGCCAGGATGCGACTGTCAACTGTATTTAGGTCAATGATAGAGAATCAACTGTGTGCATTTTTATTTCTTGTGTGAGTCTGTGTGTGAGCCAGGGTGTCTGTGTCTTGAGATCATGCAAATTACAGATGGCATGCAGTTCAAATATAGGTCAAGCAGCCTGTTCGCCTAATTTGGCATTTTGATTGGTATGCTTTGTGATGTGTGAGAAAGTCATGAGCTGTGAGCAAAGAAGAGACTCCTGCTTGACTTTAAATGTTAAAAAAATCATAGAACAGCTACTCATAAGCATAATCCCACAAACATCCCACAGGATGATGCTGCCACTACCATGTTTTACTGTGGGAATTGTGTACACACTTCAGGAAGATTTATTACAGCCGAACAACAACTTACCGAATTAACATAACATAACTGGCTTTGGTTTACAATGTATATGGAGTCCAAAAGTACAGCGGTTTCATTAGGCTGAATTATTGCTCTCTGCTGATCATTATAATGTGTAAAAAAGATCTTTAGGGCATGGATATGGCCTCGATGTTTTTATAAGGACAACTGTCAAAACACAAAGGTGAAAAGTACTATAATACTTTCAACAATTCAGCACATCACCTACATAAATAAAAAGAATTTCAAGAAGCCCTCAAAGACGGGCCTGCTTGAAGTCTGTTCTCAATACAACTATATCGCTAATTCATTTAGAAGGGTGACCATTATTATTATAGAAGCTATAAAGGAATCCTGAATCGAGGTGTCCAACGTGCAGCTTTGTGAGACTCCTTTGCTCATCCTAAATACGAACACAGCTTTATAATGAAAATGTCTTCTATTCCTAAAACACGATAGACATTTAGAGACTGTGCCATACTGCAATACAAGTGCAGCTATATCTCTAATTAAATTTTGGAAATTGGCTTGGAAAAAGACCCCGAGTCTTTTTTGTCTTATTATGATTCAATTTTTTTAAAAGCACTCCTATTTACTACCATAGTTGCAAACCATACCAAAAAGGTGTACTTGGACTTAGTAACTACCATTTAAACTTGGTCCTCTCCAAACCGCTCTCGGTGTGGTTGCCCTGCATGGACACATTAGTGTGTAGGGGTCTAGTCTGTGCTGCCTCTGCTCCATATTCGGGCTGACCCAGAGCATCCCCCACTGGCTCATTCATATACATTCATTCACTGTGGAAGGCAGAGCAGAGAAGTGCTAAAAGATTGGACTGTCAAACAAGCTAAGGTTTATCTGGCAGGCAGTGATCACATGCTACATGTCAACAAACCCTTCATAAAGAACTCCAGTGCTTGTATCCGTCATTTATTGACTTTTTCTGTTATTCTCACGCTCTCTGGTCCCCGGTATCATCCAGATATTATGTTATGTTGTTACAAAGGGAGCACAGATGTTTGTTTTAACATCATGAATTAGCACGTTTTGTGATAGAATGTGATAATATGGTATTGTAAAAAGCAATAGTTTCATTAGTTGACAAGATTAGCAATGGATTGGGCAATGGAAAGGACCATAGGCTAAGGCTAAAGTCCTTTAAAAAGGAATTTCATATTCAAATTTTTAACTGTTCACATCTCTGTTCAACTAAAATCTTTGTTTCTCGCAGTTCATCCATCCATCTATTTTCTGTCAGGCTTTATCCAAAGCAGGTCGCGAGGGGCTCTGGTGCCTAGACAGGCGGGATACACCCTGGACAGGTCGCCGGTCTATTGCAGGGCATCTCTCAGTTACTTTTCCAAAATATGGATGCAGGCTGTTTCATTACTTTTCTATTTGTATGTATCAGTGTTTGAAAAAAAAAAAAAAAAACTGTCAGCACAGAGAAACACACAGGCCAGAATGAGGAGAGCAACAGAAAGATAAAAAACTTTAACCTGGTAAGAAGTGGTGAAGACAACTCCTGTTGCCTGTTTCTGAAAGCTTGACTAAAAACTCAGTTTAGTTGCTGACAATGCAGTGCACTTTAAAAATTACTTTAGCTTCAGTAACCATGTACTCTATTTAAATCAGTAACAGTGAATCAGTTGGTTCCAATTGTCTCAAAGTACGATAAACTGGTGACCTGACCAGATTTACTGAGTGCTCCAGCACCTAGAGGACCTAATGAAAGAGCTAAGCTGTTTAAAAATGAATAATTGAACATCTATAAGGGGAGCAGATTTATTTCTTACTTTTCGTAACATTAGGTTTATACTTGAAGAGCTCAAATATCCAAGTAGTTAAAGGTGCAGTTTGAAGCAGGTTCTCCAACAAGCATAGTGGCACTGTCCTTTGAAGTTAAACCTCTGACATTTGAGGTTCATTTACATTAAGTCACACCTTAAAATGTTATACTAGTTAATAGCAAACAGCTTAGCAGGTAATATGGTAGTCATAGCTCTCCCCATTTTGCTCCGATTCAAATGTTGCTCTAATAACCCTTTTGGGGTAAAACATGTAAAATATGTTTGACCTGTTTCTACTTACTTTTAGAATAACTGGATGTGCAAAACCATCCTAAATGGTCTTCCAGCATCTTATCTTTTAGCTGTCTGCTGTGGTACAAATAATAAATAAGGTGATCCTCCTGATAATTTAAGTCAAAAGGAACTGTTAATGTATATGATTCACTATACCTTTAGTCAGGGGTGTCAAAGTGGTTCCAGAAAGGGCCGTGTGGCTGCAGGTTTTCTTTCTAACCAAGCAATAGCAGTCCAGACTCCATTGATGAGATCAATGGAGTCTGGGGTGCTTTCTTGAACCAGTTGACACCTGTGCCTTTAATATAAACAGCGCGGATATGTAAATATGTGTGGATATTTATTAGCAACAGCTTTAGTAAAATCTTGTCTTTCTTCAGTGATTTATTTGGAAAATACCAATTTTGGCCCTGCTCAATTTCTTGTTGGTACAGTTTAGCTTTCAGCCACCCCTCAGTACACGTTAGTCCCTACCTGTCCACCTCTATGGAAGTTGTCTGGCTCTGCCACTGTTTAAGAACATGCACAGGTTACCTTTGAGATATAAACACGGAAATAGCTAAATAATTGTATGGCTCCCCCAATAGATTAGTTTCTTACTTATATTGATATACCAAATGACCCTCCTCAAGAAATATTGTCTGGGTAAACCTCTGATGATTATCACACAGCCTTGGTAATTTTATTTACCTCATTCAGTGTTGGTGCTTCTACAATTTTTTGATTAAATTTGATAATATAGCAAAATCCATATTTTTAGTTTTGGTGGTAACATATTTATAAATACATTTTTCGGTATTAACTTTTTAAAATCATATTCATTGTGTTTCAGCATGTCGTCTTGCCAATTTTAATACTTAGCATCATACAACATTCCTCCAACACCTTCATTAAAACTACATATGATACAGTCATGTTTAGACCTGATCAGCATTGAATATGAGGTACTTTAGAGAGATGAAGTCCAGGCATAGTGACAGCCATCTCCAGCTCAACAGCAAGAAGACAGAATACACCAGCATTGACTTCCAGAAGTCAAGTACCACACTGCACTGGGGCTTGAGCATCAATGAGGAAGAGGTGTAGCAGGTCACAAGCTTCAAGTTTCTCATACTGCACCTCTCAGTGGAACCAGGCTAGACTGTGAACACCACCCACATTATTAACAAAGCCCAGTAGCATATATTCTTCTTGAAAAAACTGAGGAGGAACAAACTCCCTCAAACTTTGCTGAAACAAATCAGCTCAAAAATGAAGTACTGCAAAAGTTTTCACACTTACTACAGACTCTCCAATAAATAACATACCTTAACTACATCTAACTCACACTGATTTGTTTTAAGGAGAGGCTGCTTAATACCTTTCCTCTTCTCTTTCATCTTCTATAAAAAAAAATCCAGAATATTTTTTTGCAAAAGTTTTCAAACTGTATTAATTATACCTTCTCTCTTTTGATCTTTTATTTAAGCTATACTATAATTACATTTCCATGTCTACCAAAACATTGGATTTTACACAAAAAAATGAACTGATAGTTTGCTATTTTCTTAAAAACCTTAATCTATTGAATCAAAACGATCTTTGCATGACTTTGAAAACTGGATCTCTTAGATTAGAATGTGATATCAGAGATATAAAAAGAACAATATTTTATACAGAAATGTGTGGTTATTGAAATGTCTGTGTAAAACCTTGTGAAAGATTATTTTTAAAAGATACTCTGATATGACAAACATTCCTCATCAGAACTCCAATTTGTTAAATATGACTATGTATAATAAAATTCATAATTATGTTTTTTTATTTTGAAAATCATTTGATTTAATGTCCTCATCTTGTTCTATTCCATCAACTTCCCAGGCAATAGAGATGAAAATGAGCTTTTATGACTAAATCTGGCACATTTACATGACAGACTGATGCACTTATGTTGATAAATGTAAAATGACATTTTTTTAATGAATAGCATGCAATAATAGAATGAAAACATGTATTAACAGTTTAAATAGATAGTGAATTATCTATTGTTCCAAAATACATCAGATATGTGTTGACATTTCCTCTTTGCCTTTTTTATCTTCAGATCATTGTTGCTTATAACAGATTTTGTTTCTCCTAATTGTAACAGCTGCCTTGGCTCAGTTTATTTATTTAGTTTTTTCAGATGATACATTCAAACATCCAGATTACAGCCTTAACTTATCATAAAGAGTATGCAGGCCTTTCTTAATCATAAAAATCTCCCAGAAAACTACACACTAGCCCCACATACAGTAGAATTTAGGTATTTAGAAATTGCTCTTATTCAATGCAAAGTGATGGGCTCTCCTTGGGAAAGGTAAAATGGATTTTGCAGAGAAATAATTTTTTTGGATTTGAAGTCAAAGCAGTTAGACTCCGTAGAGACTTAGCATTAAAGGGAAACACTAATGTAAAAAAAACTTCAAATGCCTCTAATGTGGTGAAAGGAGAAGCCAAGGAAGGTTGTTTTGTAATATTTAAGATATCACAGCTGTATTTGCCTTTGTTGAATAATTTACTATTATTGTTTTATGATTACTCTATTAGAGCTAGAATAAGTACTAAAGGCAAAAATATTTTATGTCCAAACTGGGCACCTTTGAGAGCAGCTTTTTATGAATAGCTAAATTTGCAGAATTGCAGTAACTTAAAAAAATAAACTGAATTTTTTTTGTTGTTGTTGTTGAATATTTTTGTATATTTTCACAGGCACAAGAAAACGCTTATAGGAAATCTGTCTGGCTTTTAACACCAGTTTATTTGTGTAACCCCATCATTAGGCCGTTCTTAGTCCTCATCTCTGACCGTCTTCCATAGAAGTAAGAGTTGCAATACAGGGTCAGATGACATGAAGAATAAAGCACAAGATATCAAATAGTAAAAAAAAAAACAATAGATTCTTCATGTGTTAAAATTAGGTGAAACAACCCAGTGGTCAGCAGCTGATTCTGCTTTGCTGCTTTGGTCATGTTCTGTTTTTATGCACATTCCAGTTCAAATTCAGATAAGGCTTACAAATGTTAATCATCTAACATTTTTACAAGAGTACAATAAAAGCTAGGATTGTGCATGATAATTCATCCAGAATTAATTCCATCAGGACTCGAAGGTGAGAGCCATTTAGAGTGCTTTTAGTCATGGAATCAAACCTGTGGAGTTTCTTTTGAAACACAAAACTGACCTTAGAGATATTATAGAAAAGAATGATATTTCTGTGATGTCAGAACTTTTTCGGTCTGTTTTAGAACATTTAGAACATTCTGAATATTTATCAGAACATGTTTTCTAATGGTTTTCTTGTCTGATTCAGTCTTTAAGCCATGAATTAATATGAAGTACCCATGTGAGGCTAAATAGCAAGCTTTTTTGCTTCATCAGTCCAATCTTTGGCCTGCAGTTTCTGCTTGCTTGTCTGCCTGCCTAATGCCCAGAGTAGGGACTCTTGCTGTGCAATGAGAGCCTGTTGTTTCTCAATGATTACTTTAGTGTCAGATAGAGATACAATTCTACATCTTTTTTTTTTTTTTCCTAACTATCAACATGTGCACATACTGTATGTGTCCGTGACACATATCTGCTCTTTCTTCCAGGTTGCGCCTTCGTCAAGTTCTCTACACACACTGAGGCTCAGTCTGCAATTGGGGCCCTGCATGGCAGCCAGACCATGCCAGTGAGTAAAGGTCTCACAGACATGCAGCACACATGCACACGCAAAATTGCTTTTTACAGTTATAGTGTGGCTAAGAAGCTTACGTGCTTTAAGCTTTTTGGTGGTCTATTTTAACTGGACTAGTGATGCAACATATACCAGCAAATAATATTGAAAACATGAAAATGATGCACAAATTGAAACTTATTGTGTGTTTCCTCTGATCTGCACAAACTTAAACAAGACACAAACATATATTTACAGCCTCAGTCTCTCTTTGCAAGCTGGAGAAAACCAAACGTTTTTGGGGCTGTATAAGCTTCTGCATAATGCTGCACAAATATTTCACAACTCTGTATATCCGGTTTGATTAACCTTATTTATATATTTTTCCTCACTCCTCCAATGTTCAGTATGTTGAAGGTCAAGATGTTTATGCTGACATGAAATTTGAGAAATGTAAAGGTAGTACTTCTTCAATGTACCATCAAATACTGATGGCATTGTTTTCTATCAATGTGGTGCATGAAGGAAAACACACTGGATCTGTTTGAAATATCAAAAGGAAAGAAACTGCAGGGGAAATTTAAAATACTCTAGTCAAAGAAACCTTCCTTTACAAAAAATAAGATTTAAAATATAAAAAAGATAATTAGTATGAACTGGAATAACAGTCACCTAAAAGACTGCAGTTTCACAGAAAGCATAACACAAGATAATATTTACCTAATATTGATACAAATACAGTATCAATTTTGCCTCATATAGGCCAGATACCATATAGTGGAAGAAAAAATACAGTACATCCACCTTTATAACACAATTAGAAATATATAACCTAAAATATAGAAAAGAATAAGAAATAGGTTTTAAAACCCAAAGTGTGGCCTGTCGTCCTTCTGACAGTACTAAAGTAGCATTTAACCTGTGTGCGCTGGGTTATGT